GGGACAGTACAGCACTTTCGCCTCTCCAGACTGCAGAAGTGCCGTACTGTCCCTATTTTTTGCTTGCAGGTACCAATAAAGTGCTGTACTGTCCCTAAAAAACCTAAAAAACCAATCTTTCCAGCACTACCAGCCCTGGAGCCCCCGGTAGTTCCCAAAAGATTGGTTTTTTAGGTTTTTTAGGGACAGTACGGCACTTTATTGGTACCTGCAAGCAAAAAATAGGGACAGTACAGCACTTTCGCCTCTTGAGACTGCAGAAGTGCTGTACTGTCCCTATTTTTTGCTTGCAGGTACCAATAATGTGCTGTACTGTCCCCAAAAACCAATTTTTTCCAGAACTATATATCTCCTCGAGGTCTTGCAGTATCTTAAGCAATCAACCATAAAAATTATAACTTCGCGAACATATCTCAACCCATCATCCCCCCGTAAGCAAAACCTGACCTCTAATTATATTAAACACTGTAGCTATCATATCTTAAGCCATCACACCCCAATAAGCAAAACAGAACACTATCCTAAAAACTATACCATAGCTAAGATATCTCAGGCAATCATCTCCCGATAAGCAACACCTGAATTCTATCCAATGTCGGTTGGTTTGTTTATATCTTGAGAATTCCAGGATGTAGTGAAAGGACATTTGCTCACAGTATTCTCGCGTCCCCCGGGGTGCAAGCCCTACAAACATAGGCATACCTGAAGCCTCAAGCCCCATAGGGCTATAAGCTTCTAATGTTATAGGTCATGCTCAAACCTTAAACCCTGCACCTTTAAACCCTATAGGGTTTACTAGTAAAAATCTAAGGTCTGGGCGTGTGTACCTTCAGCGCCCTTCAGACCCTTAAAACAACTTACTCTATGGGTTTAGGCGTAAAATGCCTAAGCCCTTAGCTCTATAGGGCTTAAAAGTTAGGAATTAAGCTTTAATTGCCCGCTTGGGTTTGAATGTCTAAATCTTAACCTACAAAACTGTCAACCTTAACCCTATAGAGTTTTTAAAGGTCAAGGGGTGAGGCTTAATTGCTAAACCCTGCCCTTGAAAGCCCTACAACCTTAACCACTAGGGTACTATTTAAGAAAGTAAGCCTTGAAACAAAAACAGGAGCGCAGCAAGGGGGCAGGGTGTGGGGGGTGTTCAGGGGTCACCCCTGACCCCCCCGCCCCCCCTGGCCCCTGTTATAAGCAAACTTATTGCTTATAAGCAATGCGTTGTGTGACAAAAACTCCTTCCAGCAAAGATTCAGCTACCAACTCATACATATCTTAAATGCCTGAACCTTAAACCCTTGCGGTTTAAACTCTATGGGCTTAGGTTAAAGTGCCTGAATCTGAAACCCTAAACCTTTAAACCTTAACCCCATTGGGTTTTACAGGTGAAGGGCTTAGGTGCAATTGTCGGCTTATGTTTAAATGCCTAAATCTTAAAACCCTAAACCTTTAAACCTTAACCCGACAGTAGACGTCAGGAAAGTCAAGACTACGAGCACTCGAAGGGTGGATCTTGGGAGGGGGGGCGAGCATATATATATATATATATATATATATATATATATATATGATAGTGTGTGTGTGTGTAGTATATTATATTGTAGTATATTGTAGTATATTATAGTATATTGTAGTATATTGTAGTATATTATAGTATATTATAGTATATTACTGTTTAAAGGCAACAGCACATGCCGGAAACAAGAATGAACATGAAAATGCAGCGCCCTTAGCAAACTCGGAGGCCCCTTTGAAGGTAAAACCCTTGCATTCCCTCAACTCCTAAACCCTAATCCCTAGACGCCTAAACCCTGAACCCTTACATAAGCCATGAACCTGAAACCTAACCCCAAACACCAAACCCCAAACCCCAAACCCTAAACCCTAAACCGCAAACCCTAAACCCCAAACCCCAAACCCCAAACCCTAAACCCTAAACCCTAAACCCCAAACCCCTCAAACCAAAGCCTCGCAGGCCGCGGCGGCCCGCCGGCCAAGGGGCTGCGCACAGCAGTGAGCCTTGGGTGGGGACTCGGTACGCCCTTGGGATATCTGACATTTCTTTCGGGTTTAGGGTTGAGGGTTTAGGGTTTAGGGTTTAGGGTGTAGGGTTTAGGGTTTCGGGTTTGGGTTTAGGGTTTCGGGTTTGGGGTGAGGGCTTAGGGTAGACAAGGAATGGTTTGTCTCGTGGGCTTCAGGAGCCTCTGCCGGGATGTCTAAGGCCTCACCTTTTTGGAGGGGCTCAGGGCATAAGGTCGAGCAGTTACAAAATCGCCTTTAGGACAGAAGCCTTAAATTAAGGGGGATAAGGAGGGACTCTCAAGCTTATTCCCCTATATAAGCCCTTTGTATACCATTTTCCCTAAACCCTAAACCCTAAACCCTAAACCCTAAACCCTAAACCCTAAACCCTAAAAAACCTAAGTAGCCCCCCTGGAGAACCCCGAAGTCGCTCCTAAAGGTCCGTTTTCCGGGTCCCTCCTTGAGTCCCGTGATTAAAGACACTTGCTGATATGAAACGGGGGGGGGGGGGTTTAAGGTGTAGGGTTTAGGGTTTAGGGTTTAGGGTTTTAGGGTTTAGGGTTTAGGGTTTTAGGGTTTAGGGTTTAGGGTTGCCGGTCCTCAGCCGTTGCTTCACTTTCGCCTGCGTTGTACATAGAACAAGACCCACCCGAGGAGTGCAACCCCGCGCGGCACCTTTTGAGCCTAAACCCTCAACCCTCAGCCCTATACCCTAAACCCTAAACCCTAAACCCTAAACCCTGCTTCAGGGCATGGTTTGGGAGCTCCCCAGTTTGTAAGGGCTCAGGGCTCGGATGTAGGGTTTAGGGTTGAGGGTTTGGGGTTAAGGGTTTAGGGGCTTGGGTGGGTTTAGGGTTGAGGGTTTAGGGTTTCGGGTTTAAGGCTTAGGGCTAGGGGTTTAAGGCTCAGGGCTCAGGGTTTCAGGTTTCAAGGGTGTTGGGTGGGTTGAGGTTTCAGGGTTCCTGAGGGAGGCGGGGTTCAAGGGGGGCATGCAGCCCCAGGTTCCCGGGTTTAGGGTTTAGGGTTTAGGGTTTAGGGTTTAGGGTTTAGGGTTTAGGGTTTAGGGTTTAGGGTTTAGGGTTTAGTACCCCCCCAAAAGGCTCCAGAAGCTCCCGAAAGTTCCCTAGGTATTCCTGAACTGGACCCCTCCCTTAAACCCTCAACTCTAACCCCCGAAGCCTAAACCCTAAACCCAAACCCTGAACCCTCAACCCTAATCAAAAAACAAAAAACCGACGTCGGGACCCTACATCTTACTTTGAGTTCAGGCTTCAGGTTCTCAATATGGGGGTCGAAAGAAGTACGAAGAGTATTCCCTTATGGTCCCTAGATACTTATGCTTCTTATGACCCACCGCCCCCCCCCCCCCCCCCGAAAAGCTCTCTTCTAATCATTACGGTATGAACCCTAAACCTAAACGTAAACCCTAAACCCTAATTCAACCCTAAGCCCTAAACCCTAGACCCTAAACCCCCAAAATTCCATTTATTTGGGCCCCTCGTGTATGACTGTTTGGAGTGCGGTGCGCGTTTCGGGTGGGCTGCATGGCTACCCGCGTCCGCGGCCAGCTCCTGCAGGACAAAAAACGAAGCTCATCCTGAGCCCTAAACCTTAGGGGGGTTAGGGTTTAGGGTTTAGGGTTTAGGGTTTTAGGGTTCAGGGTTCAGGGTTTGGGGTTTAGGGTTTTTGGCCCTAAACCCCAGGGGGTTTAGGGTTCAGGGCTTAGGGCCTGAAACCTTAGAATCCTAAACCCCCAGTCCCGTAAACACTAAGCCCTCAGCCCCCCAAGAGTTCAAGGCCTCGAGAAGCCAAGGTCGCACGGGATGGGGAGGGGCACGTACGGGTTCAGGGACTAGGGCTTTCGGGTTTAGGGTTTAGGGTTTAGGGTTTAGGGTTTAGGGTTTGGGGTTTAGGGGTTAGGGGTTTAGGGTCTTGGGGTGTTTGGGTTTAGGGTGCCAGAATACACCTTATACAAAGAACCCCCCACGTACACAAAGGGGACCCCAAACCCCAAACCCTTCAGCCCCCAAAAGGGGCCCTTATGTTCTGAAGCCCTCGTGACACCTGCACTTCGAGTGCCTCTTGCCCCAAACTGGACGACGACATCAGAGCCACAAGCTTAAGCACGCACTTGAGTTCGAGCTCTTGCTAACCAGCATTCTCCGACAAACAACAATTGGCTGAAATATTCACATTGTCAAACCCAAACCCAAAACCCTAAACCCTAAAAAGGCACATAGGCCTCGAGCTGAAGGGCCCATCTTTGGGATAGACTTGACTTGCACTTTGTGGCGCTCGTCTCTGCCATGTCTTCAGTGAATTGAAGGGGAGGGAGGGGGGGGGTATCGGGTATCGGGGCAATCTCCGGGAGTGTAGAGAACCGCTATGTAAAGACTAACAAAGCCCTAGACACGCCCCAAACCCTAACACCAAAACCCTCAACCCTCAACTCTCAACCCTAAAATCCCCTAAGCCCTAAACCCTAAACCCTAAACCCAAACGGCAAAGCCTGGGCCCCACTTCCTCAGCGCGGCTCAGCTGTAGGAACTCTGCCAGGTTCGCGGCCCCTTGTCCAGCGCATGCTCTCAAGGGACGAAAGGAGGGGTATCCCAAAAAGGGACCTGAGGGTTTAGGGTTTAGGGTTTAGGGTTTAGGGTTTAGGGTTTAGGGTTTAGGGTTTAGGGTTTAGGGTTTAGGGGCTGCATGGGTATCTCGGGACTATGTAAGGTATGTAAAGGGGATATACAGGGGAAGAGGAGTCCCTTCTAGCGGTCCCTCCTTTTATCCCTTAAGCCTCTCCCCCTGCCCTAGGGCTTTGTGGGCCCGCCTTGATGGGCTTAGGATTCAGGGTTTAGGGTTTAGGATTTAGGATTTAGGATGGGAGCTTAGGTGGCTCGGGATGGGCTTCGAACACTACACCTCATGCAAATTTGAGAACGCTCCCGGTGCTTCAAGCCTCTTGCGTACGCGCGTGCGTTCGCGCCATGTCGCATGGGGCGCCCAATGAGGGGGCGCTGCCGATACAGAGCCTCGGCGCTGGGTTGCTTTCTGAGTTGGCCTGGCGCGTCCGGGCCTGTTTGGGCGTTTTAGAGTTTAGAGGGTTTGGGGTTTGGGGTTTGGGGCCTACAAGAGGTAGATAGCGGCGGATACCCTTTACGTACATAGATGCATGCATACGAACGTGCATACAGGTTTACTTTTGGGTTTAGTTCTTTGTCTGTGTTTTCATTTACCTGTCAGATCATGTGTGCGCTTTGCTCATGTTTATGCTCATCTGTATATCCATTAGGGTTTAGGGTTTGGGTTAGGGTCGAGGTTGAGGGTAGAAAATTTTTGGGTTTAGGGTATTACTGAGGGCTCAGATTTGGGAAGTTGGGTATAGGGGTTTGGAGGTCTAGGGATTAGGAACTCTTTGGGTTTAGGAAGTCTCGGGCGCTTAGGGTCCCCGTGGCGTCCAACCGAACCTACGCAGATATGGGGTATTTCCCAAGATAGGGGTACCCCTTTTAAGTTAGAAATAGGGACGCCCCAAGTGTTATCTCCGTCCCGCTGATAGCTCATCCGTTTTCACCCCTAGGGGGGGATACACATTTTCCATTTTCCAAAATATTTTTCCTCATTTTTGACATCATACCCTCGCACGTTTTCCATCAAAAAAATCACTAAAATTTACAAAAAATATTATATAAAATTTAAAAAATCAATTTTTCAATCAGCATAATAAATTCAATTTTATTTTTTGTAAATTTTAGGTCACTTTTCAAGCAGTCAAATAATTCAAAAATTCATAAATTTTCAGAAATTTATAATAAAAAATTCATAAATTTTTATCATCAATTTTATTACAAATTTTGTAATATTTTTTTGTGATATTTTTTGTGATAATTTTTGTGATAATTTTTGTTTAAACATATTTATCTCCATCTTTTACAACCTTATAATATTCCATGGTTTCCGGTTTAGGTTGTAAAATTGCTCCTTCGTTTAATTTCTTAATATAAGCGTTTCTTTTGTTTGCATATGTTGCTTCAGGATTTGTATTTAATCTAGGTTTAGGCTTTTCAGTTAGCGTTTCAAGTTTTTCTAAAACCTCATCCATGTTACGGGTTAGTTCTAAAACCATACTGTAAATTTTTTCGCTGAATTCTTCAAATTGTTGATTCTCTGGTTCCTCTTCCTCTTTTACTTCCTTTGTAATCTTACCTTTACCAACTGGCATATATACAATATAATATAAAAGTTTTTTTAAAACTATATATTTTTAAAACTTTTCTTTATCGCTCATACAACAATTGCACCTCTTACAATATGCTATGCAATTGCTTAATGTATGTGTTTGATCGTTAAATTTCCGCTGTGCGGTTAAATTCGTCCTTATATTTCCACCTATTGATTTAACATAAAAATCTACACTACATTTTTCACAACTCCCGTTCAACCTTTCTAATAACCATTCTGGGGTAATATAATTCTTATGATCTATTTTTCTTTTTGCCTTTCTGTCTTGTTCTTTATATCCTTCAACCTTTCTGCATAAATAATTATATATGCATCTTTTATTAAACTCATTATCATCATTATCATATTTAAAGAAACTTACATTATTTAAATCTGTTGCTCTTGTAATCGCAGTCCACAGCCAGTTTTTATCCACTAAACAATGGTTATAATCAAATATTGTTATACCTCCCTCGATGCTTGAACCTTGCACACTGTGGCAGGTAAAACAATAATTGAATATAAAATGCTTCCTCAACATATCCAGCGGTAACTGTTGAGTTATTTTAGTGTGTTCGTCTTCTAACACCACCACATTTTCAACTATGTTTAAAATCTTGTATTTAAAATTAACTTGAAATTTATAAGTTTTTGATTTTAAATACTCTCTGCATATCATTATTTCTCCTACTTCATATTCACCTTTTCTATTTTGCATTTTTCTAATTTCATTTGCAACTTCCCTACAAGTATCATTTAAATATGCTACATTATTACTGTTTAAATTTATGTCAGATGTGTATTTAAAATATTTTTTCACTAAATCTTTCACTTTAATATTATTTTCAAAAATGTCAATATAAATATTTTCTAATTTTTTCCTGTCTTCTTCTTTCCTTAACCGTTTACAAACTTTCAGATAAATATTATATTTAAATATCTTATCCACGCAGTTATCGGCATATTCTTCGTGCTCCTGTAAATTAGTTAATTCTGATACCGGTTTTAATTGTTTACCGTCGCCGGTAGCTACTATTATTTTATCTTGGTTAGTTTCTACAAATTCCCTAATTCTGTTTAATACCCTTAAACCATTAAAATAAATCTCATCGAACACTATGACATCATGACCTGAATAATCAAACTTTTCTAATTTCTCGTCTCCCACTGCTATAGAAAAGAATTTATTTACAGTGATTGCTTCCCTGCCGTATTTTTGAACAAGTTTATTTGTAGGACATACAAATAAAACTTTCATACCCATATCTGCCATTTTTTCACAGATATAGCTCTTTCCTGAACCTGCATATTTTGCTCTGATCATAACATGTTTAGCGCTTATAACGTTTGCGATTATATTTTTTGTGTCATACTCGTCTTTGATTTCTATTGCTACATTTTTGTAGATATGTATTTTATTTAATTCATTTGGTTTTGGTTTGTATTCTTCAGGTGGTAAAATTATATCTTCTCCTTCTTTGTTTGCCCTCCATTCTCCTATGCCGGTTTTCATTTCTAAAATCTCTCGTGCCTTGTCAACGTCTCGCGATCTTATTACAAATGCATCTGTTTTAACACTCATAACAGATACACAATTTTTCACTAGTTTATTATAATCCTGAAGCATTTTAAAATTATGATCTTGAAGTAACAGCTCTTTTATATAAATATATCCATTGTGTAATGTTGCACTATCTGATAAATTCACTAGATAATAATCCGTTCCGCTGGGTTCATCATACATACATGAATAAATATTTTCATCTTCTCTTTCTCCCCTAAATAATGTATCATAATAACATTCCACCTCCTCTATCTTATGTATTTTACCTCCGTGTTTTAATTGAAAATTTGATGCCTCTTTTAAGTTTTTAAAACCTGTGCTTCTCTGTGAGGTGTTTTCGGTTTTTTCTAAAAGCCCGATATTAACATTTACGATAAGTTTTTTAATGAGTTTGTCCATATCCTCCTCGTCACTAATGGATTTATCCCACAGTTCCTTAACTAACTCGTTATAGTTAACTTCGTGTATAAAAGAAGGCGTTTTATAATACAATATTTTTAGATCGTTTGCATCAATCTGTTTTAAGTATTTTCCATAAATTAAGTTGTATTTTTTATTAAACAAGTTGAGAAACACTGTAAAATTAGGCCTAGTTCTTTTACAATCTTCAACTAAATATAATGTATAATCTGATAATTTGGTATAATCCATGTCATTAGTGTAAGGTCTCCATATGTCAAATTGATTAAATACTGGTATTTTATCAATGGTAATTAATCTGCTGGTGTATGCTTTCGTTACGTCAATTTCTGTAACTTCTTTTGGTATGTATTCTCTAGGTTTTAAAAGTCCTGTTGGTGGTATGGTTTTTGCTTCTTTGTAAATTTGAAGATCAACTTTATTATAAAAGGATTTGTGTAATGGATTAAATAAAGCTTTATTGAAATTAAACATTGCTTCGTTCATATTGTTATATGTTTTTTCGTCGTCTACTGCTATGCATCCATCGGACGACCCCTTAATTAAATTTTGAGTTTTAATTATGAATGTGGTTTTCTTAAGTTTAAGCTTCACTTCTGTAATAATCCCCGCTTGAAATTTTATTTGTGGCTCATATCTTGAGTTCAAGAGTTCAAAAAATATTCTGGTCAGGTTGTTATGTTCAGGAACTAAATAATATGTTATTGGCTCTTTACCATTACTGACCATTTTTAAAAGTTCATAAGTATCATTGAACATTTTATATTCTGGTGGTTCTTCCTTTTCGTTCAAATGGTATTCGGTAGATGCTTTAACTATGTATTTTTGTTCTTCTGAATTTTGCTTCTGTTCAATGCTTTTAAGATCGTTATTCATTGTGTATATGTGGCTGTTTTTGACAATAGCATAAAACGGCTTAATTCTTCTTTTGTTATGTTCGGGTTCGTGTTTATATATCAGATTGTTAAAGCTATCAAAAATTCTAGCTGGTATTTTAAACTCCTTGAATACCTTATCCATGTCTTCAATGCTAGCACCTTTGCTATAAAAATCCTCCTTCCCTGTGATCTCTATAATTTTTTCTCGTGTTAATTGTTTTCTCTTGTTGCCGTCCATTAGGGTATCGTGGTAAAAGTCTATCAGTGCATTAAACCAACACTGATTATCTACATGTGTGTTATTTTCTATTGCATGTTTTAGGTTTGTTAAGTTGCTGTTAATATGTGTATATATGTAGCGATGATACATTGATGAGTGCAGTATTCCGTCAGTTAAGTCTTCCTTCATTATGTCAAATTTCTCACCACTTTTGCTAATTTTTTCCACTTGTTGAATTTTAATCGCGTCAAAAAGGTTATCGTAATGTTGCATTAAATCCTTTACAAAATTATCAAAATCTTTGTCTTTTCTTAATATATCCATCAGTTCATCAAACTCTTTATCTACCTTATGTAATGCTTTAGTTTTATAACCTTCTTCATCAATAAATCTAAATATTACCTTTTTTACCCATTCCTTTTTAAACTCTTTTGTTTTGACAGTTGCCTGTCTAATATCAAATTTTTCTATGTAAAATTGTTCTCCAAATTTTTTGAATGCTGGTTTAATTGTGTTTCTAGACTTCCTCGTGGTGTAGAGTTGAAAGTTAACTAAATATGTATCTTTACTTTTGTTTTCTGCTATTCTTTCATTTAGTGGCTTTGACTTTTTTAGGTCTTTAATTGTTTCGTTGTATTTGTCCCTTGCTTTTTCAGCGGTTCTCTTATTGGCACTGGTAAGGTTTTTAATGAAATTTTCAGCGGTTGCTACATTTGCTATTTTTC